AAGTGTGTTAGATAGTCACTGTCAAACACTACACAGCAATAGTCCATAAGAGGTAAAATGCACGTTTTGTATATATGAAGTCGAATGAAAGATGGAGCAGATTTGAATATTCGGTTCATCGCACCTATCATTTGCCTACACCGTCGAGCTGTATTTTCAAGATGGTATTTCATTGGACTTAATAGTTAGTAATATTTTAAAAAATATAAAAGATATTTTGACAAATATAAACAGAAAGAAAATACTTTCAATAGTGACGTGCGTAGTCTAGTGGTTAAAGATATTTACCTGTGAAACGAGTGATCACAGGTTCAATCGCTGTCCACGTCGTTCCTTTCGTCACTAGGGAGTTTTTATTTTAATTCATTACTGTTTTCAGAACTCTTTAACATTAAAAAGTGACATATGAAACCAAAGCAAAGAGCGTCGTCTCTCATAAGCAAATGAGTTCTCTCTCTTTAGCTATTTTGCGCCGTGCTTAATCAATGACATTTTTAATGAGAGAGATTGGTCTAATATGTCTATGATTATTCTACTTTGCTGTGACTGTTAATTTCATTTTCAGCAAATGCAACTGATTAAATGTCCTACTTTCTTCAAATTTTACAAATTACTATAACCACAGGAAATTTTCAGTATTGGTTGAATTTAGCGCCAATGAAAAGGCAGCAATAAATCCTGTATAGAGAACAGTAGGATCGCAACGGTCGAGATTTTATGGAAAAATGTGACATTTCTATTAAACGTACAGAGGGTTTAGACCATAAGGATCACAACTACGCAGGTGGTTTCTCTACACTGACCCGGGGACTCAGGTAGGGTGTTCCTATATGCTGCAGGTGTTATCTATAAATCGCCGTTTCCGTCCTAACACCGACAAATTTTTCCATGGATGAACAGTATCCAACGTGTCATGATTAAGATAGCTTTGATTAAAAACTTAGCCTGTTTATCTAAAACCACCTTCCTGTTAAAAATATTTACTTCAGTAAATCGTATTCACTTTTACACACTAACTTGTGTTGCTGCTGCTGCTAATGCTGCTGGTATTGGTGGTGCTACTACCATCGACAACGGTCGTAAACTGAGTGGGCACCGTGATCGTAGTAGAGGACAATAAGGCGGTGGCGGCAGTGTTCGTTGCTGTAAAGATACAGAACTTTAAAGATTTTCCTTGTACTACAAAAGGCGAAGTCTGAAGAGATACTAAGATTTAAACACAAGCTCAAACTGATTATTGCTATTCATCCTGCTGCATAGATACTCACTTGTCACCGTTGATCCAAACAAATTCAAACCCTGCATCGTTGGTATTATATTTACACTCGATCCTGTTATCGCCATAACAGAGGCTGTAGAACTTGAAGTGGAATTTAAGCTGAAAGTCGATGCCGTTGTTATATTCTGCTGTTGCTGCTGGACGATAGTTTGACTAGAACTGGCATTTGTTGTTGTTGTCACAGGAGAAGATGACCGAATTGCAACCGCCGGAATAATAGCAGCGCTAGCAATCGCTACTAATGCTGTCAATGTCAAACCGACTCTAAACCGTTTTGTCTTCCATAGTGGTCTTTGGCTGTTCGGACTGAAGAAAAAAAAGGAAATTTACCATCAGTAAACTAGAAGACATATCGAGGTCAGTTCTGATCTAATCATATCCCATACACTTCTGCGCGCAAATGGAGTGAGATTGATTTTTTGTTGAGGTTTTTAATGAGAGAACAAATTCGAAAATCTATTCTTTGTAGACTTTCATTTTCTGAATTAAACGCCTTGTAGCAATGTAACGAGTAAATTCTGAAGGTTCTGTGCTGCCTAAGGCGGCCTGACACAACTCTTTTAACGAGTATCACTCGGCAAGTTTCTCGAACGAATAAAATATGCTTTGGAATTTCTCTGTCCAAAGTCAGGGACACTCAAATTTTTACAAACGACGCAAGGTCCCTAGTTGGTACCATCAGATTTCGATGATCTTCTGCCGATAGATACTATATGATGTCCTAGTCTTAATCTTCAAAAGATTTGATAGCTCTTCTTTCAAAACTTATAGATTTTTTAAGATTGGCCACTGGAGATCCAAACACATCATTGTTTACTTTCCAAAACTCGTCCACATGTGTGTTGACCAGTCAAAATCTTTTTAAGCACTTATTCGTACAAAGAAAAGCTTTCATTCAGAATGAAACATGATGATACTGTGATAATGTCGAAAGCTCGCTGTTTGTATGTAAAATGATTTTATTTAAATTCTTTTCTATAATTTTGAATATACTATGTTTCATTAAAAACGTAAAAAAGTCAAAAGACATCAATATATTTGAAACATTGCTGTGTGCGATATACTCATCTACGGGATGTTTTTCTTCATTTCTCGGAAACCTTTTAGTTTCCTCAGTGGCAAAAACGATCGAAAATCGGCTTCCGTTATGCACTAAATAAGTGCTGGCTACATTTCAAGACCAATCTGAGATGTTTGGCACTTAAAATAGTGGAGGAATCTTGGAATTATCCAATGCTACAAGGCAAAAATCGATGTAGTGAAATGAAAGAAACGGACGAAAGCAGAGTTTTAGGTGCCAATAGAAAAATGCTTATGACTTTAGATGTACTATCGCATACAGTAATGGTTCATTTTCAAGAGTATGCTTTACTCTATACAAATAACTGTTTAAAAAGAATTTGACCGGTCAACACACATGTGGACGAGTTTTGGAAAGTAAACAATGATGTGTTAGCATCTCTAGTGGCGAATCTTAAAAAATCTATAAGTTTTGAAAAACGACCTGTACAACCGAATCGTTTGAAGGATAAGACTAGGATATCATATAGTATCTATCCGCAAAGGATCATCGAAATCTGATTGTATCAGCAAGAGACCTTCCCTCGTAAGTCATGGAGCTTTTGTGATATGTGCTGCGTAATACAAAACATTGTATTTCGTTCCTTACTTTTGAGTTTCAGATTGGCAACTTTTTTGTTCAGAACAGCTCCCACTGAGGCCAAAATGAAGTTCAGAAACGTCAGAACGCGTCTAGTTTGGACTGGCTTCTGCACTTAACAACCGAGATCAATGATTTTGTGACGAACAAGCTGTTTTTAGATCGAAAGAAGCAGGTTTCACATACTTTGATTCTATCGTTGGAAGTTCTTCTAAATTAACTTTTATATCGCTTGATGAGTGTGGACGAGTCTCAGCAGTAGCAGCAGCATTATCATTATTATTAGATAATGGATTATGTGTCGCCTGTGGAGCAGCTGCTGTAAGCATTTTGCTTGCTTACACGATAATGTATGCGGTGTAGAACTGTTCGTCAGTCGCTAACTTTTCTTGTCTGTTAGTTATAACGGCTTTTAAAGATTTCATCATTAAACTTCTTATTCTTCTTACTTAGGCACGTTAAGGAAAAGAATGTTTTTCTTCGTTTGTTGTTTCTTTAAAATAATAAGCTTCTATAAAAGGAAACGTATTTTTGTTATATCGATAATTGCAGCATTGAATGCTGTAATTGATGCTTTTTTTCTAACAATTTTTCGTTCTCTTTTCGTTGACATGATAAAACGTTTTTTGTCTTCTTTTAAAAGCAAAGCAAAAGTAAATGATGGATTATAAACAAACAAAGAAAACCAAAACGGTTGAATGGCGATTAGTTTGAATAATAAAGAAAAGTATTGTGGGTGAGAATTGGAACTGAATGAATGTTTTCCAGGTAGACCAGGCTGACCGGTTTACCGGTGGATTGAATGAGTAGTTTCTACATTAGATATAAAGTTCTGATTTATGAAAAATCGATTTTGTTTTAGAAAGCTAAGCTTGTTTATCTTTAAAACCTATAGGATTTAGATATTTTAGCATGAACGTGAGGATCACATTGAGCACAAAGCTTAATCCATTACGAAAAGAGTTTTTTTCTATTACTCTCTTTAGTCAGACTGTGAAATAAATAAAATATATCAACCATCGAAAGTCTCAAGATATAACGTGCTCATGGAACCGATGGCTGATTCGAGCAAATCAAAATCCTTTCTGTTCATTTTCTTTAATCATCTTATCTGTTTTAGCATAATAAAACAACTATTTCTGCAGGTACAATAAGTGTAATAGAAAAAGATTTAGAGATCAATTTAGATCTCGACTCACAATGTAATGAATACAAATAGCGAGCAAAAGAGAATGATAAGAAAAGAAAAGAATATAAAAAATACAAAAAAATAGATAACAAATGTGGTGCGTGTCTATAATAAGCGAAAAACCAAATATGATCAGAATTGTATTTAACGAACATTGCATAGGCGCAGCGACTGTACGTACAAGTGTAGTATAAATAAAAACTACGATATCAGACTATTATCAAATCTTGATGTATCTGTTATGCAATCAGAAATTCTATAATATATTTTCTTCTACTCAGCTATAGAAAGTTGCGGAGATCTGTAACGAACCGATCAAAAATTGAAAAAATTGTATGCAGCGTTTGTAAACGATTTCAATGAAATGCAGTCAAATGATTTAATATAACACTTTCAGCAGTTAAATCAAATTCACTTTCTCAACAGTTGGATCCTCACGTTCATGCTAAAATATCTAAATCCTATAGGTTTTAAAGATAAACAAGCTTAGCTTTCTAAAACAAAATCGATTTTTCATAAATCAGAACTTTATATCTAATGTAGAAACTACTCATT